GCCGCCAGCCCAGAGCTGGACTCTGCCCTCTGTGGTGCCCTTCCTGCAGTGGCTGCAATAAGGGAACAGGGTGGGATAGGCATGGGCCATGTGCAGTTTCCAGAGGCACCCCTAGGACAAGGAGAGGCCAGCTCTCTACAGGACAACCTGAGCCCCTGCCAGGCGCCTTTGGGGCTGTTCCTGACAGGGAGGGGCTGGGCACGCTTCCCAGGTAGCCACCTGCACATGCCTCCTGAGGGCGCCCCACAATGCCCATTCTTCCTGAGACCCCTGCTGAATGGTCCACACGACCTGATCCTTAATTCCATCTGTCCAAGGTGCCCACATGTGCTTGCCCTGTCTTATTTCCCAGTGTGGGCTGCAATCCTAGGGGCCAACTACCAGCTTCCTCTAAATGCAGTCCGGGTGGCAGGAGCAGGTCTGACATCTGGGGAAAGGTCACAGACCTGGGTTTGACCCTCCTGCCTCCAGCTGCAGTGGGGGACTCACAGCCAGGCTTGCCACTGCGAAACGGCATCTGTAAAGGAGGTGAGCAATTTGTAAAGGCGCCTGAGACTCTGGACAGATGCGAGTTTCGTTTCGTTTCTTCTCTCTTCTTTTCTTTAAAAGAGTATATTAAAGTGAGTAGAGCAAGCAGGGAAAACAGGCAGATTCCAAGGTTAGCTCTGCTAACAGAATGAGAGCCTGGTCCTAGGAGAGCACACCTGGGACTCAGCTCCGGGAGCTGAGCGCTGCCCCAATGACACACCTCCTGAAACAGCATGCCACCAGCAACACCCGCCACCAACCACCGACCCAGAGGTGTGTGTGCATGTGCGTGGATGTGAGTGCGCATGCATCCCTGCACACGTGCACATGCACCTGTCTGCATACCTGTATCTGTGCACCCACGTGTGTGCTCGTGCACATGTGAGACACCGACATGAACACCATAGCGTTTTCAATCTGGCTCTCAGGAGCCCTCTTCTGAGGTCCCTGGTTTACACTGAATTTGACTCTGTGTGCTTCATTTTGAGAGAACCAGCAAAGACAGCTCCAGCTCCACTCTTCCCCAGGCCTAAAGCCTAAGCAAGAATCACACTGGCTCAGGGTCTAGATGGACTTCAAAGTCGCATGCTTCAAAAGCAAATGTTTATCAGCCAGGTGCAGTGGCACACGCCTGTAATCCCAGAGTCTCAGGAAGCCGAGGCAGGAGGATCACAGGTTCAAAGCCGACCTCAGCGACTGAGCAAAAGACCCTGTTTCAAAATAAAAAGGGCTGGAGATGTGGTTCAGTAGTAAAGCATCCCTGGATTCAATCCTGGGACCCGAAAAAAATGTTTATTATTGTATTGTTGCAAAATCAATGATTCTGAGAGCTTCATTAGGGTAGGTTGATTAGAAGAGTCTGGATATAACTGAGAATCCTGATTGCAGGGTTTTAAGGACCTTAAAAATGGTCCAGAGATAGTCTGCATCTCAACTTCTCCATGAGTGATTTATCAGTCAATCAATGCATCTTTATGAACAGACATCAGGCATAGCCTTCCCACATGACCTGTTCTGGTGGAACCCCTCAACTGTCCCACGCATCACTGACCACATGCTGCGGAGGCCCAAGGGCCCATGAGAAGGCACGGTCTTCCCTGGGCACTTCTAAATTCTTCCCTTTCTTTTCCCACCCCAGCCTTACCCACTCCAGAATTTTAAGTCTTGAGTCCACTGAGAAAGTGCTGCCTCAGATCTGCTGGTTTCTACACATCCACAGAAGGTCTCCTTGGTCTGGGGAAACACCAGATTCTAACCCACACATCAGGAAAAATGCAAATCTGACCTGCTCATCAAATGCTGGTCTCCTCAACTTCCCCCGTCCTCCCCGTCTATCCCCTGCATCACGACTCGCCACTTCCTCCTGCTCACACTGTGGTCCTTCCCAGAGCTGTGTTTTCTCCTGGACTCGACCTGCCGTTTAGGGTTTTATCCCCCATGCATTATGGGAGGCAAGTAAGTGCTTCACAGGTTAATTTGGTTCAAATATGTTATGCTACCTGTTGGTCAAGTTGTTCCCCAAGATTCTTATGTTGAAATCTAACTCCAGTGGCAGGTGAGGTCCCTGCAGAGGTGATCAGTAAAGGTCATACCAGGTAGTGTGCCCCTGATCCAACAGGACCATGTCCTTATAAGAGGGGGATTTGGACAATGTGGAGACCACAAGCCCAGGCACCCCAGACCCCTGGATAGAACCTCCCCCACGCTTCAGGGGACCCCAGCCTCCAGGGGCCAGACCATGAGACAGGTGTGCACAACCAGGACAGTCAGGGGTGGCCTCTGACTTCTGACTACATCCTCCAAACACTGGTGGCTCCAGGGCTCCTGGGGAGCACACTGCATGGGTTCCACGGAGCTTCTGTGCTCTCGTCTCCTGGGACACAGAAAGAGCCACATCCCTGGAATTGTGTGTGGTGAAGTGGCCACTGCTGCACTCAGAGGGAGAATTAGACTGTCACGTTAACGTGTTTATTAAGCTCCCAGTCACTTCCGTCCTCTAGAAGACCCCCTCGAGGTTCCCCCTCCTTGGGCTGGATCATCTAGAGATGTGCACGGTGTGAACTTGTGAGAACTGTGCTGCCCAGGCTCAGGGCATCTTGGCCTCAGTGTTTCGGAACAGGGTGTAGGGAGCCAGCCTGGCGCCGGGAAACCCAAGGGCAAGAGTGCATATAGGAGCACTGGGAAGAACACGCTGGCAATAATGCAAAGTGCTCAGGGGACGTTTACAAGTCCCTCTCTCTCTGGCTCCACTCTGCCCTGAAAGAAAAGTGGAGGAACTGCACCAGGGAAACCTGAACCCATGGCTCTAAATGAGCAGGAGTCCAGTGAATGTCCTCTCTCCCCTCCACCCATCCCTGCTCTGAAGCACGACGACCAATGGGAGAAACATGCACACAAGGAAAGCCTCTTCAGCCTGTGCTTACTCCCAGGCTCAGGGCTGGCCTTAGGCTGTAAGCTCACACAACTGAAGTCACAGGCTGCTCACCACTGCCCAGCAACTGGGGCCCCCCTTCCAATTCCACGGGGACATTCAGTCGCCAACTGTTCCTGTTTAAGGGAAAACAGTCTCAGACTCACATTTACACATTGGAGTAAAAGCCATCCGGCTTCATGTGTGCTTTGTGGCACATATTGTTGTGGGCAAACATGTGTAAGCACACAAAAAGGCAACTCTTAGGAAAGGGAGACTTCTGAAACTCAGAGTTCAGAGGCAGAAAATGGCTTATATTTTATTCCCAAAATCTATCTTTGAACCAGAGAGCCAGTAACTCTATCCATAATTGGTGCCTTTACGTTAAACTTTCATTGTGATAGAGTCAGTTTAAAACAAACCAATCAGGGCTCACGAGAACAAAACAATGGCTTCAACCTAAGAGATTTCCATGCAACTGTAGTTTCAGAATATGCCATGTTCCAATCCAGCTGCTTCAAACTAAACATTTTATTCATTCCTGTCTTTGTTGTTTTAGAGATGAAAAGAATGCTACACTTTTCTAAGAAAATCTTTCCAAAAGTTAAAAAAGAAAATTATTGAAGTCTGCCAATCAATATATTAAGGCAGTGAATATGCCACACGACATCATGCTTTGAGGGCCACATTTTATCAACACAGCTCATGAAGTTGCTTAAAGCTTCACTCTTTAGAAATGGAACAGCATATTTTAGTAAAGTTAGCTTTTCAACATCTGTCCTTTATTATCAGAGGTACCAATATCCAGATGACAACAGTGCTCTGAGTGCCTTGAAAGTTACATCCGCTCCTCAGCCCATCTTAAATCATCATTTAAGTTTCACTTACAAGCAACATTCCTATTTTACACAAGACAGTTGTTTATTCTAAAATGCAGATTCTGATTTCATAAATATGTTCCAAGTCAGAAAAATACCTAAAACTAGTATGCACAGCAAATTCATGTTAAATAACATGTTTTCTGGCCTAATTTTAAATCTAGCACCATAACATGCAAACATGAATAAAATTACTTTTTCAAATCACTTAACCTTTTAACAAACTGTTTGTCATCCTGCCTGGGGGTCAATACATCCCGTTAAAAATGCAATAGTTCTTTCTAATTATGGTATGCTTGAAATTCTATACTTTAATGCCCTTTAAATAATTGTTGATCTTATTTTTTAAACTGTATCTTGGCCAAAAAAAAATTAGAGGCAAGACCTCAGTATTTTTGACGTATTTGGGCGCGTGGTTCTCAGAAGCTGGTCCCATCCCCTCTCCCTGCTCTTGAGGGAGATGAAAACTTTCATCGCTGGCAGACGCGGGTCAAGGTTCACGCTCCAGCCGCAGGGGAACCACCAGCGGAGCAGTCCGCTCGGATCGGATCGGCGTGAAGTCGAGACGAGTCTGGGATTCCAAGCCAGCCCCGGAGAAGGCAGGGCTTTGAATCCCGGCGTGCCACCGCGCCGGCCTGGGTGCGAGCGGAATCCTCCGTGGGGAAAGTAGTAAGTGGCTTCGCAGCCCAGCCCTCGGCGACGATGGCTGCGCCTTTTAAACGCGCACAGCAGCGGGCCCACTGAACCGAAGGGCGAGAGCCCCCTGCAATGCCACCGACGAAAATCGCTCGAACAAAGCCATCTCGGGAAGCTGCGCGCGCTGGAACAAGGTTTTGTGACCGGTCGCCGCCAGCGAGCAAAGCCGACCACCCAGCGCCGTGGAGCAACTCAACGTCAGGGCGGAGCAGAACCCCCTCTTCTCCGCAGGCAAAGCACTCTCCTTCCCCCGACCCCGACCCCGCCGCGTCCCCTCGGGCGGCCGGCCCCTCCCCCGACCCAGCCCGCCCCGCACACAATGGCGCCCCCCGAGCTCCCGCCACCCGTCCCCGCGCCCGCCGCGCCGCCCGGTCCGCGCACAAAGGAGGGCGCGCGGGGCCGGGGACGCGCCAGGTGCTCCTGCGCGCATCGCGGGCCGCGCGGGGCCGGGGACGCGGGCCGGGCCGGGCCGGGCTGGGGGCACTTACTTTCTCAATGGTCCCGGGGAGCAAGCGCTCCAGCAGCCTGCAGAGGACCACCCCATCCTTCAGCGACGCCTGCAAAAAGCCCTCCGGGTCGGAGATGGTTTTCTTGGGCGACTCTAGCACCCCCAGGGTGATGAGCCACGTAACGGTCTGCTCGGCGGAATTCATCGCTGCGGCGGCTCGGGCAGGGCGCAGGGAGGGGGCCCGCGCGCGCCGTTCACCTCGGAGCGGCGGCCCGGCCCGCGGCCGCCCCCGCCCCCGCCGCCTCCGCGCCCATGGGGCGCTGGGCGCCGGCGATTGGCTCGGCCGGCCCAGCAGGTCCGGCTCGGCTCCGCTCGCTCCGCGCGCCCTGGCCCGCTGTCAAGTGCCTTTTCATTAGATGCTCAGGAACCTGCGGGCGCCGGGCGCCGCCCCCGCCGCCGCCCCCCGGCCGCGGCCGCCGTCGCCCGATGACATCACCGCCGGGAGAAGAAAGACGCGGCCGCCCGCCCGCGCGCGCCCCGCGCAGCCCCGCGCAGCTCCGCGCCAGGCCCGGGCGCACGGCGCAGGCTGGGCGCGCCCCACGCTCACCTGCGCAGCCCGGCCGCGCCGCCTAGCAGCCGCGCCCGCCAGGGACTCTGCGCCCTTTGTTTATATTCCGAGCAAGAGGTTTGCATTATTAAGTACTTCCCAGAATGCTCTTTTTATTTCTGCCAGTCTTATTTCGGGGTGGGGGCGGTACTGAAAGCCAGACGTTTGTGTCTCGCTACCTTGCAAGCCAGTAATGACGGAGCCAAATGCTAATTAAATCTGTAACCAGATGGGTCTAATTTGGGCAGGAATTGATTTTCCTGAGGCGCTGCGAGCCCTGGGGGACGTGGGCGCCAGAGCGCGGCGCAGCGGGCGGCTCGAGGGCCCCCTGCCGGGGGGTGGTGGACGCGGCGGAGACCTCAGCTGGCGGAAGCGGGTGGCTCGGCCAGCTGGGGCCATCGGCCAGAAGCCTTGCGTGGCTCCGCATTAAATTGGTGGTGACGTTTCAAAGCCTGTTGGAGCAAGGTCAAGAAAATAGCACAGCCTAAGTGGGTCTGGGCGCAGCGCGAGGAAGGAGAGCGGCGCAGTTAGACCGACCGGCGCTTGGTGGCGTCCTGCGCTGGAGCCCGGCAGCCAACGCAGACCCCACAGAACTCGGGCGTCCGACTGTCGCGTGACGCGCAAGCTTCTTCCAACAGCTAGTGACCTTACTCCTGTGTGAAGAAGGACGGGGACCCCCTAAAAGGGCGTGTATTTCCGTTTACACCAACCACCGGCCCCGCGCCTTCGCCTTGGCTTGCTATGACTTCCGCGGCAGTTTAAAATAACATTTGTAATCACCTATGAAATCTTACCATGTGCCAGGCACGAATATGAATCCGTGTAATGACAAAGGCTAGAAATCTATAAAGATTCCAAATTAAAGAGGCGCACTCCTCTTCCTCTGATTTCTCCCAGTGTACTGTGATGGCAATCGTTAATTGCACTTAATTCCAGCTTCCCCCAGTTAAGTGGTTAAATTTTCTTTCCAAATACAAACACAAAATTCAAATAGCAGTATGAATTCTGAATTAGGAGGGCAAGCTATTCTGTGGGAACAGCTGCCATTGAGAACAGCTGCAGTTGCCAAAGAAGCCCTTGCTGTCTCTGAGAAGTGCTCTCTGCCTGCGCGGTTCTGCTCGGTCCTGAGAATGGCGGTGTGAAGTAGCTCCTTGTGCCCATTTTACTGGTAACACACAAGTGGTGAGTTGGAATGCAGATCGTGGCTCCTCCTCCAGAATCGGAAAACCGACCTTTTCCATCCAGCTTCCCAGCAAACAGTAGTGCAATTGAAACTACTTCAAATTTTGTTCCTAAAGAGTCTTTATCGAGGAAAGTTCTCAGCCCACAGGTAGTTGTCCATTGAGATTCTTATTTACTCTTATCAAGTGATGATTTGCAAAATAAGTCAGAATATACTCATTACAGTGTCAGATTCTATTATAATCAAGTAAAAAAAAGTGAGTTTCAAATTGATTCAATCATTTTTTAAAATTTTTTATTGTTGGTTATTCAAAACATTACATAGTTCTTGATATATCATATTTCACCCTTTGATTCAAGTGGGTTATGAACTCCCATTTTTACCCCATATACAGATTGCAGAATCACATCAGTTACACATCCATTGATTTACATATTGCCATACTAGTGTCTGTTGTGTTCTGCTGCCTTTCCTATCCTCTACTATCCCCCCTCCCCTCCCCTCCCCTCCCCTCTTCTGTCTCTGCCCCCTCTACTGGCATTCATTTGTCCCCCTTGTATTATTTTTCCCTTTCCCCTCACTTCCTCTTGTATGTACTTTTGTATAACCCTGAGGGTCTCCTTCCATTTCCATGCAATTTCCCTTCTCTCTCCCTTTCCCTCCCACCTCTCATCCCTGTTTAATGTTAATCTTCTTCTCCTGCTCTTCGACCCTACTCTGTTCTTAGTTACTCTCCTTATATCAAAGAAGACATTTGGCATTTGTTTTTTAGGGATTGGCTAGCTTCACTTAGCATAATCTGCTCTAATGCCATCCATTTCCCTGTAAATTCTATGATTTTGTCATCTTTTAATGCAGAGTAATACTCCATTGTGTATAAATGCCACATTTTTTTTTATCCATTCGTCTATTGAAGGGCATCTAGGTTGGTTCCACAGTCTTGCTATTGTGAATTGTGCTGCTATGAACATCGATGTAGCAGTGTCCCTGTAGCATGCTCTTTTTAGGTCTTTAGGGAATAGACCGAGATTCAATCAATGGCCCTACAGACGCCATCCATCCCCAGGAAGTAGCCTCAGGAGGATGAACCTGGGAGCCAATTGTCAGGAGACTCCCAGACCAACGATTATTAGCCAGGCTTCTTGGCTGGAGTCCCTGAACTTTTAAATGCTTTACGGTTACTGGTTGCATTTTTGTTTTGTTTTGTTTTCGTTTTCAGTTTGGCTGACCTAAAGGGATGTGGAGCAGCTTTCAGGGAAAGCCTTGTTTGGCTCCCTCATTTCCCCAAGAGGATTCTGGGTCACTCCCAGCATGGCTGTTGTCAGTGGCTGTTAACCACTCCCATGTCATAGTTAGGGTCTCCCCACAAACTCAGCTGCCAGTACCTCCCAACTAGCCAGTGGAGCCATGCTACTCAGTTTGTGTGGGACCCCATAGGGCATGGTCACATGAAAACCTGTTAAAATTCACTTCAACCTCAAGCTGGACAGCCATGTGGACATTGGCCCGGGCTGTGTCATAATGACTCCTATCAAAATGGCTTTTTTTTTTCAAATGGGCCCATCAACTAGATTGACAAATGCAAGAGGAAAACCATTCTATGAAGCTCATTGCAACTACTGTACATCATTGGAGGTTCTCATTTCATGAAAAAGTGTGCCATTTATTTGGGATAAATAAGGTCATTTAGCATTTGCTAGAAATTAAAGATACAAGCAGGAAAACATAGCTTATAAACATATACGGCTTAAAAATTGCACAGGATCAGAAAATGTTTTGCCACCCTAGGATGTATGGAACATAGCAGTTGGGCACTTGCCCTAGTTAGGGTCCCCCAGAAGCAGGTCCTAAGCCAACAACTTAGATGCAACTGGGTCACTGGGGGGAGACCCCAGGAAGGTCCATGGAGATGGGGAGAGAAGAGATTGGGTGGACACAGGGTGTGTAAAAGAGCAACTCCACTCCCATGGTCTCAGAGTCGGCAGATCAGAGGGCATCCCCGCGGCAAGGCCCTCCCCAGGTGATAACTCTGCTTCGGCACTGGGGTTGTTTCAGGAGCCAGGGCGTCCAGGGCACCTCCTCATTCCAGTTCCCCACAGGTGAGAGTCACAGTCATTATGGAGGAGCGTTGCCACCTACCTGACACAGCAATGCCAGCTGCAGGGGCAATGTTCCATGTCTGCCTGACTGGACCAGTGGGCACCCAGGTGCTTGGCTAAACACCCCCATGTGTCGGAGGGTGCTTTCAGGTGAGATGAAGGTTGGACTAGGCAGATGTCTCCTGGGTGGTGGGCCCCGCCCAGTCCGCTGAAGGCCTGAACAGAAAGTGAGGCCTAATCTCCCCTCCGCCCTAAGGGAGGGCGGTTCAGCTGGGGGGGTGGACCTCCAGGCTGAAGCTGAAGGACTTGCCAGCTCCCTACTCCTCTCGTGAAGGTACCCGCGTGCGGACAGTGAGCATGCCACAGACAGGGCGAGGGCTGAGAGGCCCTGCCTATTGTTGGATATCTCCTTGGTCTTGTTTCTCTGGAGAACCATGATGGACACTGCATCCTGTGGCCATGCCATCTGGCTGGCAAGAGGTGTGTGTTCAGAGTCTCTTCCTGGGCCTCTGCTTCCTGGGTCCCTTCTGACCCACTGCTGCGGTTCGGGGTCTGAAAGCAGACTCTCTACGGGGGTCAGGTGGACTACTCGTGGGGAGGCAGTCACCAGGCGCATGAAGGAGGAGGAGCCCAGGTGCAGCTGCAGTTGCTAAGTGGCAGCCGCCGAGGCCCCCGGGACGATCCCACTGGACCCTGCCTTGTTCCTGGGCTGCTGCACAACCTCACACAGCCTGGGTGGTCCAAACAGCAGAGGTGTGTGCTCTCACAGTCAAGGAGCAGCGTCCGCAGTGCAGGGTCGCAGGGCTGTCCCTGCGGGAAGCTGAGGGAATCCTGGTGGGTGCAGTCCTCGGGGCGCCTTCTCCAGCTTGTAGAGGAGCCATTCCAACCTCCACTCTGTCCTCACACGTCCTCCCATTTTGTGTCCATGTCCCATCTTCCCTTTCTAATGGGGACACCAGCTGCTGGGTTGGGGCCCACCCCACCTAACCCAGGACGGCCTCTTCTTGACTTGAGCACATCTGCAAAGACCTTCTTCCAAATAAAGTCCCATCCATGAGTGCTGAGACTCGGCACTTGAACGTATCTTTTGGGGGGACACAATTTAATTCACAATCAGACAATGTGAGGAGTCACCAGGGCCCTGCCTCAGGAGAGGAGGGAAGCCGAGCTCCCTCTCGCTCCACTCAGGTGCAGTGCCGGGACCTCTCTGGGGCTCTGGTGTTGCCCTCCATCTGTCCCTGTGGACCCTGCCGTCACCATTTTCAGCAGCCTTCCCCATTCCTCTGAGAGGGCTCGCCCAGTCTTGACAGCCCCTCTGTCGGTCATCAGCGGGGGTCTAGAAGAGG